AAGGTAAGACTATTTTTTGTATAATTTATTAGAACGTTTTATATTAGTTGTTTGATATAATTTTAGAATAAAATAGGACAGTAAGTTCCTACTTAGTTACTATGTCATTCTCGTCATCCTTGTCAAATCCAGAAACTCCTCCAAAAAAAATTAGGCGTCTGTGCAAGTATAGAAAAGAATGGGAAGTAGAATTTCCATGGGTAACAGAAGACGCACAGAACATAAGACGGCAGTTCTTCCACTGGTTTATCGAGAGGATTTTGCAAAATTTGTAAAAAAACAAGTGGGTTACTGTGGCAAAGGCGATTTAAAAAAACACCAAATGGGGAACGAACATAAAAAAATAGTTAGGTACCTATGTGTTTTCCCAAGTTAAAAAAAATTTCAAATAAAATATGTCCATAATTTTGTACCGGTGTCCAGAATTTTTAATCACCTTGCCCAGAAAATCCCAAAATAAAAGTTGGCAACTATAAATAGCGATAGGTTGCAATTTGCAACCTATCGCTATTTATAGTTAGCTCGCTTGCGTAATCAGCCGTAAGATGTATTGCTTATGCCGCGGCAGGCTGTATTCTGGCCGTAAGCGGGCCGGCTAGGGCAAGCCGAAGGATTTTGCAGCGGCATGCCGTACTCTGGCCGACTTTGGTTAGAACTTGGCCAAACAGTACCGGGCTAACATAACGCGGGCCATAAGCGCGACGACTGGGGGCAAGCCGAACTGCCGGTCAACCGCCTATGCGAGCGAAGGCCGACTTTTTGCCGAGTGTTTGGTGTTTACTGGGACTGCAAACATTACTTAAATGTTTGAAAATGGATACCTAACGCTTATCGAAGAGGAACCAATCGCCAAAAACATTGGCTTAGTAAAATTATTTGTAAAAGAACTCATTTTTAATAATGCTCAAAAGGTTGATCATTATTAATTTTTTGACCATCATTAAAAATGAGATATTTTGCAAATAATTTTGTTTACCCCAGAAAAAGTTTTTGGCGCTTGGTTCCTTTTCGATAAACGCTATACAAATATGAATTAGAAATTATTATTTATAATATATTTCATTAAAACGCTAACCCTTCAAAACGGTCCGTTCTAGAACGGTTCTTGGCGACGTTGGAACAAACCTTATGACAGTCAGATTACCAACCATCATGCAAAACGAAAATTACCAACGGTCAGATCTATACACCACTATCTAGGGATTTTATTTCTTGCAAATCAAGCGTACCCCAATTTTACATTGTATGTATGTACTGCACAAATTATTAAATTCAAAGCAATATGCAGTGCTTTAAATCGCAAATGCTAATAATACTGCAAACATATTTTCAATGTTTGAGTATTTGAAAGTATTAATTAGAAATAATTTTACATTGTATGTATGTACTGCAAAAATTATTTAATTCAAAGCAATATGCAGTGCTTTAAATCGCCAATGCTATTAATACTGCAAATACAATTTCAATGTTTGAGTATTTGAATGTATTAATTAGAAATTTTACAACAGGGGCCCTTGCATCTACATTAAATAGTATAACGGCGTGCCATAGATATTTGGAACCAGAGGAAATAATGCATTTCCGACCAGAGCGGGTCTGCGCTTATCTTTGCACAATGGCCTGAATGTGTGTCTACGTGCTGCCTTCAGAGGCTATCCTTCAAATCAATTAATACAACGGAATCTAAAAGACTTCAAAGTGTTGCCCTGAAAAGGTATGATATTCGACTAATCCACAAGTGTGGACTTATCTAGTTTTTCTCAATTTGTTCAGAATTTAACTTTACATTGATGTTTTCCTTTTTTTAAAAATGTGCCAATATTAAAAACTTCTTGACTAAATTTTACTATCAAGCCCGCTCAGGCCCGTAGCCAGAAATTTGGTTTGGGGGGGGGCCCAAAACGTAGTATTAATTTTTTGGGTGGTAGGGGGGCGGAAATGGTTGATGGATAAATACCAGTAAAGCGTGAAGTTGTCAAAAAAAATATAGCTTGTAATCGATAGATATATTTTTAAAACATGATTCACATATTTAAGAAAATTTTATGGTTCACAGAATTTCGGGGGGGGGCCGGGCCCGTCGGGCCCTACGGCTGGCTACGGGCCTGAGCCCGCTGCACAGCCTGTTAAAGGTGAGAGAAACTCAGCAAACACCATCGATCAACAGAACTGCAACGGTTACAGTGCAACCACGTGGTTGCTTAGTCTTTCCCACCTTTACTGATCAGATTCCTGTTCCTGTTACCGGGCTATTATTCAGGGGGTATTAAGCCCGCTGCACAATAGCCCGCTCTCTAAAAATAAATTAGTAAAAAATGATAATAATAGTTATTAGTGGCTGCTTTTTCATTTGTACCATGGGTAACCATGAAATACCATGGTATCCCAAAATTTAACAGCCAATTCTTATGTTAAAAATTAAAACAGTAGAACAGTTTTTGAGCTATATTCAATTTTCCATTTAATATGGAATAGACTATATCTTAAAAACTGCTCCACTTTTATAATTTTTGACGGTATTTTCGGATTCAGGGGACAATTTTACATAAGAATTGTTGTGTGTTGTGTGTTGTTAAATTTTGGGATACCATGGTATTCCAAGTGTAAAAGCAGCCACTAATAACTATTAAGTTAGTAATTTTTGACTAATTAATTTTTAGAGAGGTAACATGAACAATAATCTGAACAGTAAAGGTGGAAGAGACTAAGAAACCACTGTTGATAGCTAGTGTTTGCTGAATCTCTCCCACCTTTACTTTTTAAGTTCCCGTTCCTGTTCTCGTTACCGCGCTGTTGTGCAGCGGGCTTTACATCCAGTGGCGGCTGGTGGATTTTGGGTATACCGATATCTCAATTATTAGATATGGGACCCACACCAAATTTATAATGACATTAAATAAACAAGTTCTGCGCAAAGCAAAATTTAAATTTAAGTTTGCAAAACAAAAGATAACTTTTTGCTCGGCCGTACCGGCCCCATGGCGTCCTCACTAAATATAATATAAATTTAATTTAACCATTAAAACATTTATCATTTGTCAATTTTATTTCATGTTAATTGTTAAAATTGTTTTGTTTGGTATTTTGTGTTTTAAACAAAATGTTTATTAATTAAAGAAAATTTTAAATTTATTTATAAAAAAAATTGATTTTGCAATTAGTTGTTAGGCATCAGTGATTGGCAAGTTTTATTACATAACATGATTTGGACAAATTAAAAGAAACTTTCTTGTTCATCGTATGATACAACTCGTATCCAATCATAAAACTCTCTCTCGGTTTTAAACTCACTTGCTACTTTTAATAATTTTAATAATAATTTTCTGTTTCATTTAAGGGTCATTCCATCGTTTCGGGTGTTACATTTGTTAAACCAAAGTATAAATTTGTATGTATTTTGAAATAATATTTTAGCAATTAAAGTGCGTTATTCTCTACGTTTTTAGTTGTTCTATTTAAAATTTAAAATTAGTACAGTTTATCATATAGAATAACGATTTATAAGTGGAAAAGTGTGCGTTTCGGGGGTTTCACGAATTTTCTTAGGGAAACATTCCAATAAATTTCAGGCCAAAAGTATAATATTTACTAACCATCTACCACATAATCACTGTCACAAATAATTTAAGGTTTTACTATTTTTTTATAAAATTTTACTTTGTTTCTAAGTAGGTACTACAAAATAAGTAAGTAACAAATAAACATAAATAGAATGAATTTTTCTTTAACATAACTTATGCAGCTTCGGGTACGATTGATAAATCGGAAAAACGGGTAAAATCGTTATTATTGCCAAAAATCGGTAACAAAAATTGAAGAAACATTATTATTGACGAAAATCGTAGTATTTGGTATTTTTTTAGGTTTGTTACCATTTCGGTAGAAATACCGAAATTTCGGTAGGTTCGACAATACCATCGTAAAAGCAGTCACACTTCTTTAAAAGAGGTGTGACTGCTTTTCCGATGGCGACGCTAGTGGGCCGTCGAAAGATAATAATACTTATTGCAATCGTCAAGTAATACACACACATATATCGACATCTGAAAAAAGTTGTAACACACGAAACGTTTCGGGTGTTACAGTTTTTAATCAAGAAAAAAACATATCAAATTAGTCTTATGCTCAGATATGAATTAGTATTTTAAATCATCACCACCATAACCTTACTTTTACTAAATATTATTACACTAATCAATCTGTAAGGTATAATAATAAAACAATTACCTTATTTTATCGCATATTATAATTTGGAATGTTTTCTTTCAAAATTCATCAGATTTAATGCGAAAAGAACATATTTATTTTTTCACCCTCAGTATCGATCGTTTGTCATAGAATAACTCTTAAGAAATAAAACTGGCTTTCAATTCTAAAAAACATTACAACTTGAAGATTAAATGTTGTATGTCATTATATGTATGTATACCAAAAATATTCACTTTTTGGTCTTATGACATAAAATGCTATTAGCTAATATGTGGGTCAAATCTTGCAACTGAATAAAACCAGTTCCACCTAACCGATTAAGCTGTTTTGCACACAGCTTTGGTGCTGGTAACAATACAATCTAGTATATTAAATATTGTAATTTGTTCAAAATGCCGCCGCTCTTAGATGGCGGATTATCTATTTCTTCATAACCTCCTTGCCATTATTAACAAATGAAATAGTTTTTCAAGCAGAATACGCGACGTCATTCCAATTTCTTTACCATCCTTGTGACATGGGTATCAAGTTAAAGGGTTTAATTGCCTGGCTTACTATAAATAAAATCTTACTCTTAAATTATATAGGTATATTTTTTCTTATCTGTTTTGTTAATCCTGAACCTATTAAATTCATTTTACTCTAACTTTCAAAAATCTGTTAGAATGATTATTTAGTGGTATTGATAGTTTTTGATTTATTTTATTTAAGTGCGGTGTCTACTTATAAACAATATATGTTTTATTTCATTATAAAATTTTATTTTTTTATTATAAGGGGAAATATCTCACTAAATATTTTCCTGGAACATAGAGCGGTTGTGACTGCGATGACGGAATTCCTTGACCAGCGGACACAATTTCATTTTCGTCGGAGCTATTGTAAATGGGGAGCTTTTGTGTGCTTGGACTGTTTACAATTTCTTCTTTCGGGGATGATTTTGTCCACTCCAATAGACGAAGGTACTCCAAATGAGCCAATATATCGCCATAGTGCGTGTTGAAAAGATCCGCGTATCGCGAAGCTAATCCTTCAATATATCCTGGGTTTCCTTCCTGTAACAAATATTAATATGAGTTTGTTACAAATTTTTATAAATATGCACTGCATATTATGCAGAGATTTTTATATTATTACTTTTATTATTAAAATTAAAATTATTTTATTTACAACATGTAAACAAATAAAAAAAACAGGAACAAAAATAACATTGAACACAAATAATTTATAGACTAAAATAGAAGGAAATAATTTTTCCTACTCCCCCCTTTAAAACGACCATTATCGTACATGTTTCCATGACACTAAGTGACCTTTTAAATACACATTGACAAGTTGTGGCTTCACGGCGTTTTAGTCAAGGGATGAAGTAGTGTGTGTAAATTATATGTACTTTACAAATGTTTTGGCCATTAATTAAAGTATTTAAAAATAAATCTTTTAGTGAAATGTTAGCAATTATTTTGTAGTGAAAATAGTCTTAAAAACCAACAATTTAATGCTAGTTATTATTATTATTTATTTCCCGGAAGAGGACCACCAGACCCCCCTTACACGTGGGGTACATGGGCGCCGCCAGCCATAGCCATGGCCTTGGCCCCCCTGGAATTGTATACTTGTTTTTAAAAAATATAAAAAAAAATGTATGCCAAATTTGAATGTCCTAACTTATTTCCTTCTATTGTCTGTAACAACGAAAAATTTTCCAGATAGAGGATTTTTGCGTTTAATGTATTAATTTTTTAAAATTACTATTAATCTATGAAAAAGTATAATTTTTTGAGAAAATGTAGAGGACATAAGTTACTTTTAAACAAACAAAAAATATGTGTTTTCATCCTAAGGTCTTTTTTACTTCGCTCGATTATTACTTACAGTTTTTCATGTAGGGAATTTTTGTTTTAAAACGCAATAATTTTATAAAATCATTAATAATAAATTAACTATTTTATTTTTTTTAGGAAATGAAGGGAAAATATGGTACTTTTAAATAAAAAAAAAAGAATTCATATAGGTATGTCCATCGTAAGGACTTTTTTACTTCGCTTAATTATTACTATTATTGTTATTTTATTGAAAATGGCATAAAAAACAAAATATCAGTGATAATTTGCATTTCATGCATAATTAGTGCATATTTTGTTATTTTATTGAAAATGGCATAAAAAACAAAATATCAGTGATAATTTGCATTTCATGCATAATTAGTGCATATTTTGTTTATTTTTTTGCCATTTAAACAATCTAAAGATCAATTTCGTTATTTACATAATTGTAATTTTGTACTTTTCTAATGTTGGTGCTTCCTAAATATCTTTTAGGCAATTATTTGTTTTATAAAAACAAATAATTTAAGATTGCCTAAAAGATATTTAGGTAGCACCAACATTGGAAAAGTACAAAATTACGTTTCAAAACACACTAATTATGCATTAAATGCAAATTATCACGGATATTTTGTTTTTTATGTCATTTTCAATAAAATAACAATAATAGTAATAATTGGATAAAGTAAAAAAGACCTTACTAAGGACATACATGAATTCTTTTTTTTTGTTTAAAAGTAGGTACCATATTTCCCTTCATTTCCTAAAAAGTTAGAATTGTTCATTAATTATTAATGATTTTATAAAATTATTGACGATTTTATTAATTATTAATGATTTAATTAATGATTTTATAAAATTATTGCGTTGCAAAAATCCCTACATGAAAAAATGTAAGTAATAATCGAGCGAAGTAAAAAAGACCCTAGGATACAAATAGGTACATGATTTCTTTTTTTCTGTTTTAAATTAACTTAAATCCTCTACATTTTCTCAAAAAATTATACTTTTTTATAGATTAATAGTAATTTAAAAAAATTAATACATTAAAAGCAAAACTCCTCTATCTGGAAAACTTCTGTTGTTAAGGCAATAGAAGGAAATAAGTTAGGACATTCAAATTTGGCATACATTTTTTTAATATTTTTTAAAAACAAATGAGGGGGCGGCACGAATAAAATTTTGACATCGGTCAAATAAGAACCACCCTAATACATATATGCCATATGGGCCATTCTTACGAAAATGTTCAATTTATAAGAGGCCTATTCCCTTTCTTGCTGTTCATAAACATCGATTCCTTAACATGTCTGTTCAGGTAAAAGTCACTAATGAAAACTTCTGCCTTACCATTATTGCTGCATTATTAATTATTAGGTAATTACCTAAATATGTAAAAAAAAATGTCATTTGCTCGCGTCTGGCATTTTTTTTTAACTTGAAGTCCCATCAAGTCTTTCAGATAAATATCATCGCCAGACGTGTATGTCTCTGCATTAATGAGTATTTAATTTTTTTTAATTATGATATATAAAAATTTAAAGGATTTGCTCGTCAATAAAATTTATACAAAATGTTAATTGGGTCATAAAAAAGCAAAAAATAAAAGTCTGCCATTTAATTTTTACTGCGATAATGAACGAAGAATTTTCAAAATTGTAAAAAAAAATTAATATTAAGTTATTTGCTCTTGGTTAAATTATTCTGTTGTATGTCAGAACTGTGAATATATGAGTATTGCTGATTTTTTATAGCCAGAACGCTTTTAGGTTAGGGTAGGTATTTTGGGAAAAGGCTATTAGCGTTATTTTTTACTTATAACGTTAAAATTTTTAAGGTCATTAAATCATATGATCTTTCGATTCCCCAAGTTTGGTGACCCTCAGTTACACTTCCATTTGGGGTCAGAGGTCAAACATTTTTTAAATTATTTATGTATTTTTTACCTATTATGGGCAATTAAATACAGGCGTTTTTTTAATATAATCTTGAAATTTGAAATGAGGTCATGAGGTATTGTGATCTTTTAAACCCCCAAGTTTGATAACCCCCTAAACATGTTGTTTTTATATTATTATTATGCATTTTTTACCTAAAAATATTTTTTGCAAGAAATTGAAATTACACCACTTCCTACCCATCTATTTAAAAAAATTAAATTGTTAAAAAATTGACAATAAAGCCAGTCATTAACAAAAAAGGTCTAATAAAGTGCGAAAGTTTTCAAATTTTAAGACAACATTGGAAAAGAATAAGAATATTAAATCCGGTTTTGCACCCTTTTCCGTTGCCCAAATTATTGTTAAATTAGTAAAAATTATTAATATTAGAAAATATGCAAACCTGAAAAAAATATATGCAAACAAATAATTAACAATTGAAGACTACAGGGAAAAAACGTGCAGTCAATTTGGATATTTTTTGGTATGGTAGCTAAAAAAGCAAAGATAATGGTATTATTTTTTTTTACACTTAACATTACTGTTTACCACAATGTTGTTTTAATAGAGTTCCTAAAAGCAGTTCGTTTTTTAAAAGGACCCAGAGATTACACAGTATTCAAGTTTAAAATTGCTCTTCTAAAAATTTAAGTTTTTTGACTTTGCACGTTTTTTCCTATACTCCTCAAAATGTTTTTTTAGTATCTATATAGCAGTGGCGGCTCGTGGGTGTACAGGAGGGTGAGGCTACATAAGGTTAATTTTGTCTAAATACAAATAAATTTCCACGTCACCCGGGAGGTATTATTCTGCGACGCGTTGACCTTTTTTAAAATGGAGGTCAACGCCGATAGCCCTACTAAACCATTATAAATAAAAAATAAAGTCTAAAAAACAAAACAAACAAAATATCACATCAAAGACTACTTTTAATCTTAAAACTTAAAAATATATTCTTAAAACAGTTAAAAAGAAATAAATTAATCAAAAAATAAAAATAAAACTAAAAAGTCGACCCCTACCTATAGATTTAATTAACAAAAAGTAGCTAATAGTATTTTATATTTTTTAATACTTATAAGTATTAAAAAATATAAAATACTATTAGCTACTTTTTGTTAATTAAATCTATACGTCTAAGTTTTCAAATTTATCTATAATTTGGTCGTAAAATTGTGGGTCTGCAGTGAGATTTAAAAGTAATTCTAAATTTTCAAACCGCGTCTCTAATTAAAGAATTATGCAATCTATTATTTCAAAATATAAAATTTGCTTAATAAAAACTGTTAAATCTACCTTAGTGTGTTCCCCACAATAATTAAATAAGAAATTTTACTAATCGAGACAAAAACTATAAAAGATCAGCCAAAAGTTTTAAATAATTTAATCTGAATCAAAACAAAACGAAACAAAACGTGCTCTACGAAAGCTTAGAGGACACTGGCCTCCCCACTGCGGAGTCCCCAGTGGGGCAAGATACATACACCCAGGGCTGGATGCTCCCGTGTACGAGTTTTGGTCCGTCCCGCGCATGACGTCACTTGATGAGTAGTTGCCGTGCCAATACACGAATAATAGTAATATTATCAAAGAAAATAGAGAAATTTCTGGACATAGTGCGTTTTTATTAAACTTAATATTGAAGAAAGTGTTATAATATGGATAATAAATGCTTTCAGTCCTTGATAACATTTAGGGCTGTAGTTTAAGCGTTGGTGTTTTAAATTAAACTTTTAGTCACTGTCGAAAAAATGTTTATAGGAAACAGAAGCGGTCTTAACGTAAATATTGTCTATTATTTTTGTGGCATTTAAACACTGTTTCCACAAATCAAACTTTTTCGGGAATCGATTAAATTTAATGTTTTTATTTAAAGGGTTTTTCTTCGACTGGTTGTCCGAATTGTATCCAAATATGCCACACCGCATTTTAATAAATGCAAATGGCACTATACAATCTAAAACATAAACAAAACAAGTTAACGCAACACAAAAACATTAATAAACAAACCTAACAGGTTAACCTAACGCAATAACGATAATTTGAACGCTGAAAGGTAATTCGAACCTTACCGAACACAAAAACGACAAGTTAAACAAAAAGTAGAGCAAGTTAACATCCAAAAGCATCGCAAAAACAAGAATTTTAGCAGTAGATAATTAAAAAGCACGTTAAAGATTTAAAAACACTCATCAAGTGACGTCATTAAGCCCCGACCAACATGCGCACCATCCTATCTTAAGGTGTATGTATCTTGCATACACCTGCCAGTGGGGAGTCCCCACCATA